AAGGGGCAGGAAAGCCCCAGCCCTGCCCAGAGCAGGGAAGAGGGGGAAATCTATGAAATATACAAGAGCTGTTTACAAAAGGGGCAGGAAAGCCCCAGCCCTGCCCAGAGCAGGGAAGAGGGGGAAATCTATGAAATATACAAGAGCTGTTTACAAAAGGGGCAGGAAAGCCCCAGCCCTGCCCAGAGCAGGGAAGAGGGGGAAATCTATGAAATATACAAGAGCTGTTTACAAAAGGGGCAGGAAAGCCCCAGCCCTGCCCAGAGCAGGAAGAGGGGGAAAGGGCGGGACCTGATGCAATCACTTATCAGAGGCTGCTGCAGGAGAAGGATCAGTCTTCTTTGTTCCTCGAGATAAGTGGGGCTTGGGGGTTGCGGGGCAGGGCTGGGGGGAAGCTGCCTGGGGGCTGAGGGAGTGAGGATGTGTTGGGGGAAGACATGGAGTGCCTGCCAATCAGCAGGCACTCCTGGTCAGGCTTTCCCCAATACTTTCCCCTTTCTCAGCCTGGGCAGGCGGGTGGGCAAGCAGGGAAAGTGGGGGAACAGAGTGCGCCCTGGGGCGTGGCGGCCAAGGGACAAGGGGCACTGCCAGCCTCCCACCTCAGCTCACACTGTGTTCGCTCCCAGAAGCAGGGCCAGGGGGGCAAGGGCAGCAGTGCTCCTCTGCGGGCCACACATGTGCTGCCTAGCCGGGGGGAGCTCACATGTGGCAGCCACTGTTGCTGCTGCACTTTGCACCACTTGCCTGTGGCTAGTGGCAGGAAAGCTGCACGGGACGTGGGGTGTGGTGGTGTGGTGGTGGCTGCTGCACGCAAGCCCCCCCAGCCAAGCAGGCATGTGAGGCCCGCAGAGGGGCACTGCTGCCCTCACCCCTGGTCTGGGCAAGCAGCTTGGGGCATGGCAGCGGTGGTGCAACAAAGGTGCAGTGTGGGGGCAGCTGCCAACAGTGGTGCAGTGGTGGCCACCAGGAGCAGTGTGGTGGCAGTGGTGGCCACTGCGTGCCAGCACCACTGCACGCCAGCACCACTGCACCACTGCCACTGTGTCCCATGCCACTTGCCTGGAGCAGGGCTGGTGGGGCGAGGGCAGTGGTGTCCCTCTGCGAGCAGCACATGCCCACCCAGCTGCGGGGGAGCGGGGGCTCGCACACAGTGGCCACCACCGCATCCCATGTCCCATGCAGCTTTCCCACTGCTGGCCACAGGCAAGCATCGTGAAGTGCAGCGGTGGCAGTGTAGTTGTGGCAGTGGCTGCCATGTGTGACCTCCCCCCCAGGCTAGGCAGCACATGTGTGGCCCACAGAGGGGCACTGCTGCCCTTGCCCCCCCCAGCCCTGCTCCTAGGAGTGGGCACAGAGTGAGCTGAGGTGTGGGGCTGACAGTGCCCCTTGCCACTCCATCGCTGTGCCCCAGGATGTGCTCTTTGTTCCCTTTCCTCTCCCGGCCTGCCCAGGCTAAGGGAGGGGAAAGTATTGGGGAAAGCCCCACCAGGAGTTCCTGTCACCTGGAAGGCACTCCATATCTTCCCCTAACACATCCTTACTCCCCCAGTCCCTAGCCTCCTCCCTTGTTCCCTATACTGTTACCCTCTTCAAGTCTCTGTGGTTGTGGAATGATGGGTCTCTGTGGCATGGGACTACCAGGTTCCTCAGTGCAAAGCCTCTGTCCAGGTTGCCAGCTGTGGTGTAAGCAGTGAACTGACTTTCATGACATATGTAGCTATCAGAGAACTAAAGCAGTTGTGAAATGTGTGGGCCTCTATGTGTACTGACTCAGAGCAGGCAGCCAGGCTACAGTATCAGGCTGGTTTCACATAACAGAAGCCTGTGTTTGCATCTCAAAGTGGGGGCCAATGTGAAGACTGTGAAGATTCAGGCAAAATAGGCATTGAGCACTTCAGCCTTTTCTGGATCCTCTGTCACAAGGCTGCCTCCCCAATTCAGTAAGCGATGCACAGTTTCCCTGATCCTCCTCTTGCTACCGCCATTCCTGTAGAAACCATTCTTGTTAGCTGCAACTCCAATTGTGCTTTGGCCTTCCTGATTTCATCCCTGTATACCCAAGCAATGCTCTTATATTCTTCCCTAGTTATTTGTCCAAGTTTCCACTTCTTATAAGCTTCCTTTTTTGTGATTTGGGTTACTGAAGAGTTTCCTGCTAAGCCAAGCTGGTCTTCTGCCATACTTGGTAGTCTTCCTGCACATTGGGATGGTTTGCTTGTGCACTCTCAGTAAGGCTTCTTTGAAGTACAGCCAGCTCTCGTGGACTCCTCTTCCCCCTCAGACTGGCTTCTCAGGGGGTCCTGCCCATGAGTTCCCTAAATAAGTTGAACTTTTCTGAAGTTCTTACACTACTGCTCTCTGTGGCGGGCCAGTAGGGGGTGCTCCTGCACTAAGCCACCCACTTCACTGTGCCCAACCACCTTCCAGGCTCCGAGTGCCTCCCTGGGGGTGCCTTATGTCTGGCTGCCCCCCTTCCTGGAGCACACCCGCTAGCCTGGGGGTAGAGCTGCCACCACCCAGGGACAGGCTTGATCCTGGCCCAGTGTCCCCTGGGAAACACAGGCCTAGTAGCCTTCGAGGGTACTTGACTCACTTCAAGAACTTGGGATGCTTCCCTCAGTTGGAAGCACAAGTAGTGAACTCCCTTAGTTAGCTGAACCAAGGGGACCCCAACGCATAATCTAGACCTACTCCCAATAAGTCTGCCATGCTAGGTACAAAGGAGAACTATATTGGTTACAAGGAGTAGGGTTGGAATAAGGTACAGAGTTGAGTAGTATCAGAGCAATCCCATAGCGCA